ATATGTCTGTTTTTATGCCAGTATCATGCTGTTTTGATTATAGCCTTATAGTATAGTTTGATATCAGGTAGTGTGACACCTCCAACTTTGTTCTTCTTTCTCAAGATTGCTGTGGCTATTTGGGCTCTCTTGTAGTTCCATATAAATTTTAGGATTATTTGTTCTAGTTCTGTGAAAAATGCCATTGGTATTTTGCAGAATTGCATTGAAATTATAGATCGCTTTGGGTTATACTATACAAAGTTTTGTGGGGGAAAAAAACACTGCACTATAACCCACATCTCTGTACATGTATTTCCATGTTTATGTTTATTTCAAAAAAAATGCAGTCATAATTAGAACTGCTTAGTCAGAAGAAACGCAGTGCTTTGAAAGTTAAGTCAGACTTCCGGTCAAGATGGTGAAGTACGTAAATGCTGTGCTTACATCTTCCCATGACCACATCAAAATTATAACTAAATTATAGAACAACTACCCTTAAGAACTACCTGAAGATTAGCTGAAAGGAACTCCTATAACTAAGAATATAAAGAAGAAGCCATGGTGAGACTGGTAGGAGGGGTGGAGACATGGAAGGTGCTGATCCCACACCCACATGTGGTGGTTAAGAATCAGGAGAGATATCTCAGCTGTGGAGGTCTGCTCTGAGCAGCAAGGGGTCCCAGCCTCACACTGGGCTCCCCAGCCCGGAGCATCAGTGCCATAAAGAGGAGTCCCTAAAACAGGTGGCTGTAAAAATCAGCAGGGACTAAGCCCGGGTGAGATGGAGGGCTGCTGTAGATGCAACCATCCTCTTAAAGGGCCCAAGCACAGACTCGCTCACTCACTTACATTGCCCTAAGCTCTAGGGGAGGGACAGCAGCTCAAAAAGCACCAGAGACATAGGGGAAAGAACTGAATTGACTAGCTTCAGAGTGAGAGCTGAGAAGGCAGCTCTCTCTGGAACTAAAGTGCCAAAGACACCATTTTCCTGTGTTGAGCCCTCTCTACATGCAGCTGTAAGTTCTGGGCATTGCTAAATCTGAGTGTCCACTAACCTAGCTGACACCATTCACTCTGCCCTGGGGATTTCCTGAGACCTGGCCCCACCCAGTTCACTTGCCTGCCTGAACCTCTTTCAGAAGTTAATCCACATAAGCCACTGGCCTGGGACTGCACTGTGGACTTTTCTGAAATCTCTCAAAGGTCCATAACCCCCAAACAAGCAGTGGCTGGCTTCTATATTCCCTGTACACACTTGCAAAGTGGCCCCAAGCCCAGCACTAGTGGCAACAGGCCTCAGTTCACAGCGTAACCACTCCCAGGTGCCTCCACGCCCAACACAGGCAACTTTCAACTGCAGATCACTTTGTAGCTCCTACTAGGTGGCCCCAGGCTGGACACAAGCAGTGGCTGATCTAGGCCTGTACTGGATCCCCTCCCAAGAGGTTCCAGAACCAATATACCTAGTGACCAGCTTCAGACTACATCAGAGCACCAACCAACTAGCGCCACACTCAAAAAGTGGACCCAGCAGGCACCAGAGCCCTGCTAAAGTGAATCCCTCTCCATGGAGTCAGCCCCTACTCAATAGCTTGTCCACTGTAGTCATGGTCAGTTCTCACAACCAATTAGCCTGAGGATCAGTTCCACTCAATGACATACCAACGGCAGCGAAGCTCAACTACAACAGGAGAGCACACACAACCCACACAAGGGATACTCTAAGAGCACCCAGCTCAGATGAACAGGGAGACTGTGCCACTGGGCCCCACAGAACATATACTACATAAGGCCACCCTGCCAAGACTAGTAGACATAGCAGAACTACCTAATACATAGAAACAAACACAGGAAGGCAGCCAAAATGAAGAGACAAAGAAATATGTCCCAATGAAAGAACAAGACAAAACTCCAGAAAAAGAAACTAAACAAAATGAAAGCAAGCAATCAACCAGCTGCAGAGTTTGAAACACTGGTTATAAAGATGTTCAGTGAACCTGGGGGAAGAGTAGATGATTTCAGTGAGAACTTCAACAAAGAAGAACCAGTCAAAATGAGAACCAGTTAAAAATAAAGAAAACAACAACTGGAATGAATACATTAGATGGAATCAACAGCAGATTAAATGAAACAGAAGATCAAATCAGCAATTTAGAAGACAAGGTAGCAGAAAATACCCAACTGGAACAGCAAAAAGAAAAGAAAATTTTAATGAGGATAGCTTAAGGAACCTCTAGAACAATATCAAGTGTAACAACATTCACCCCATATGGGTACCAGAAGGAGAAGAGAGGGAGAAAAGGATTGAAAACCTATTTGAAGAAATAATGACTAAAAACTTGCCTAACATGGTAAAAGAAATAAACATACAAGTCTAAGAAGTGCAGAGTCCCAAACAAGATGCTTCCAAAGAGGCTCACACCAAGACACATCATAATTAAAGTGCCAAAGGTTAAAGACAAAGAATCTTAAAAGCAGCGAGAGAAAGGCAGTTAGTTACTCCTTTAGTCAGACTGTCAGCTGATTTAAAAAAAAAAAAAAAAATCTTTGCAGGCCAGAAGGGATTGGCATAAAATATTCAAAGTGATGAAAAGCAAGGACCTACAATGACGATTACTCTACCCAGCAAGACTATCATTTAGAATCAAAGGAGCAATAAAGAGCTTCCCAGACAAGAAAAAGTTGAAGGAGTTCATCACCACCAAGCCAGTATTACAAGAAATGTTAAAGGAACTTCTTTAAAAAGAAGAAATGAAAATATAAATATGAAAATATTGCAGAGAAAAAAATTCTCACAAAGGCAAACACATAATAAAAGCAGTGGATTAGCCAACACTAAAGCTAGTACAAAGGTTAAAAGGCAAAAGTAGGAAGATTATGCATAACTACAACAGCAAATTAAGGGATACACACAAACACACAAGAGAAGTAAAAAATAATGACAAAAACATACCCGTGGAGGGAGCGAGTAAAAATGGTAGTGATTTTAGAATGTGTTCAAACTTAAATGACCATCAACTTAAAATAGACTGCTATAAACACAGCTTGGTATATATGAAGCACATAGTAACCACAAATAAAAACATCTACAAGAGATATACAAGAAATAAAGGGAAAGGAATCCAAACAAAACACTACAGAAAGTCATCGACATACAAGAGAAGAGAGCTAGAGAACAGGAAGGGAACAGAGAAGAATTACAAAAATGGCAAAACTACATACCTATAAATAATTACTTTAAATGTAAATGGATTAAATGATCCAATCAAAAGACAAATGATAAAGAAGAGGTGGTACATATGTACTATGAACTATTAGCCATAAAAAAATAAATCTTACCATTTGTGACAATGTGGATGGACCTAGAAGTATTATGCTAAGTGAAATAAGTCAGACAGAGAAAAACAAATACCGTATGCTATATATCTGAAACTAATATAATATTGATGTCAACTGTAATTGAAAAACTTTAAAAGATTTTAAAAAAAGAAAGCAAAGTTAAGCCAAAGCTCCTGTCTATGTCTACTCCTAAGAGTGAGAACAAAGAAAAAGGAGTATGATCAATGTGGGAGATGATGCTGGGCATGTAGATTAGGCACTGGTTGCAAGGGGCTTAAGTGCAGTCTTAAAGAGTTTGGTTTTTAAGCAAATACAGATTAGGCTTCTTTGGGTTAGGCCATGGATACAGAGATGGATGTGATACTGGCCCTGCCCTTAAAGGTTAACTTTGGAGCATGTGATGTTGAGCGATAACCTTTAAGAGACCTGAAAGCCTCTTCTTAAGCAACTTGTCTTGAGGCTAGAGCTGTTTCCTTACTCTCCATAGGAGACAGGGAGATGGAAAAAGAATGATAAAAGAGGCCCTGGTTCCCCAGCGAAGTTCAGCTGTCCTCCCCAAGATCTGCTTTGTGTTAGAATGCTAGGGGTTGGACTGGATAGGGAGCCCTCCAGGTTACCCAAGCATCATAGTGCAACTTCCATGAGTAAGTAGTTCGAGAACCTCAAAGAGATGACCATTTGTATAGAACTCCTCCCAACAGCTTTTTCCAGGCCTATCCTGCACCTGCAGGCATGAAACTTGAATTCTGGATTGTTTAGCAAACAAAAGCCCCTAGGTGGACCAGGTGACTTTCCTGCCTCCTTCTAGGCTTCCTGGCTTCCCTCTGCTAAATCACCATCCACCCATAGTCCTCTGCTCTGGGGCCTCTCAACCCAAAGTCATCTGTCTACCTCAAGGCACACTGCGCCTCCCTCCTTCCTCCTCTACTGACTTTAATGGGCAGAGCCCTTCATCTCCTGCGGGACATGCTGGCTCCTCACCTCCTGCTTCTCCTGCCCTGTCTACCCTCATAGCCCTCAGACTATCTCCCTATCTTGAGGGCTCCCTCTTCTAACCCACCTCACATTCTCCTCTGAGAGCTCTCTTTTTGGCTTTCCAATTGAGTCTCCCCAAACCTGTTTCCTAGTACCCTCTTCTACCAGAATTCTCTCCACTGCACCTACTTTGCTTTTGCCTCCCTGCATTTATACCTAAGCCTGCATCCTGAGGTCATGTCCCATCTCCCTCTTTGCACAGGGAGATGTTGCCATTTCTTCTGGCTAACCACTCTTCCCTCTTCACTCCCTTTTGCCCCCACCTCCTAGTGCACAGGATAGGTCTGTGCTTGTAGTGCCACTGAGGACAGTAAGGCAATGACAGACTATGAGGGAAGCACCTTGAGGAAAAAGCCAGTCCTGATTCTCTGTCTTATTTCTGAAAAAGAGTTTGTCGGATGATTTTCAACTAAAGCAGATGATTAATTCAACCCTGACCTTGTCCTGTCTTTGAACAATGGATAAATTAATTTACTTGAAAAGAAATCTTTTTATTTGTATTTCCATGTCACCTGCAATTTTCCCTGCCTTCCACCGGCAGCCCTGCCAGCTGGCAGGAAGAAGGTCAGCAAAGCTGCTGATAAGAGGAGCATAAAGAGGGCTCGCTTCATGGTAAGGGGGCGATGGTCTACTCCGCTGGGAACATGCTGCGCTTCCTCGTCTTAGCCACCCTGGTCCTTTATGGTAAGTAGGTCATGTGGCCTGAGTTCTAGGGAGGGGCGTTTGAGCAGGAGGGTCAGAAAACTATCCCTAAGTCTAGGCCTGTGCTCTACCCCAGTGTAGGTGGGACATTCTGTGAGTCTAGCAAAAATTTTACTCTCCTGGGACAAATGAGAGGAAAGCTCAGGGCCTCTTTCCATGCAAGTTCCTCATGAAGCAGAGAAAAGCCTCTTCCAGGAGCCTGGGCTTTCCTAACACCCCCATTAATAGGAAGATGTCCTCAGCAGGTGCCCGGCTGTGCATTGTCATCCTTGCCTCCTGAAGAATCCTACCAAAGCAGTGTGTGTGTGTGTGTGTGCGGTCGGGGAGGAGGGGCATCCTCGGAGACCAAAGGGTGAACCTGAACAAGGCTGAGACCACAAGAATCCTCTGAGGCCTTACTTACTTAGCCTGCTGATTTGAGATAGGTCCTTCATAGCATGTGAGTTCTGAGGACACCTAGGGAAAGCAGAAGGCACTCAGACTTTCCTGCTTTCAAAAGGGGCTCAGAGAACTCACAGCTGGGCCCCTCGTTAATTAGGGAGGAACTGTGAATTTGCAGACAAAGCACGACTGCTTCTCCCCACCCCCACCCTAAGCTGACCCCATGCTTAGTCATCACTCACTTTTCTTCTGCCCCACAAAGGACACAGCACCGAGGACTTTCCAGAAACCAATGCCCGGGTAGTTGGAGGGACTGAGGCCAAGAAGAATTCCTGGCCCTCTCAGGTGGGTGTTTCTTCACAGCTCCAGACTTCCAATAAAATAAAGGTTGCCTGGGTGCTGATGTATAGTATTACATGTGTTTGCATATGTCCTTATCAACAAGAAGCTCTCCAAATGCCCAAAATCTAGATTTTAAAGATGAATAGGACCAGGCTTAGGTGGTTTTTCTAGATGCAAAAGGCTTGGAAGAGGGAATTTAAACACTAACTACACTCACTCTCCCAGGCGCACACCCAGACATATACCACAGTTACACTCCCACTTGTGCCACACTAACAGACTGTGTGCCAGACCCACACCTCAGATTCTACATACCTTCATGGGCACACATACACACACACATACACACACAATTCCACACAGTGTGTATCGTGCATTTAAGCGCACTTCTACCCCTAAGTAGAGCATGTTGCTTTTTTTGGCTATTTAAAGAGTTTCCACTTTCATAACAGGACAGCTAGGCTCTGATTTAAGTGATTTTAAATGTGTAAAAGGGGCAAATTAACTGATGAGTAGCACACTTTGGAGAAGAATCACTGCAATTAGAATTAAATTCAATTTATAAAAGTTTAAGCCCCAGTTTTCAGGAGTAGAGCTATTGTGTAATGTGAGGTACTGAAGAAGACATGAAATGGTAAAAATGACCATTCTAATGGTATTTCTAAATACTCCCTGAAGCGAGGAGATGGGGTATATCTTGAAAACATTGGAGGAGAAGCTCTGAGACCTAAGCTTGTGGGGCTTGGGTGATAAAGCAATTCCATAGCTACATTTCCTTCTCAAGAGGAAACAAGGTAGAAGAACCTGGGTTTTCAGCCCTTTGAAGCAGCCTAGAGTAGGAGGACACCAGATATACTCTGTGTATATGCCTTTACCCACTGACCCCCATCCATATACACAGCAAACATCACCAAACAGGCAAACACTCTTCCTTGCTGATCCCAGAGGCATCTACACACCCCTTCTCATCACCATTCCAGGTAGCCACCACCAACCAATCAATAGCAATTAATAGGTCAAATCAAACCTATTTGCCACTTCTAGCCCAGAAAGTTGGAGAATGCTCTGGGAGATGGCAGGGATTTAAGGGAGCGACATGTAGTTTGGGGCAGAGCCTTTTAAGACACACCACCTTTCCCTCCTTTCTTCCCTCATCTAGATTTCCCTTCAGTACCTGTCCAATAATAACTGGTATCACACCTGTGGAGGGACCCTCGTCAAAAAGAACTGGGTGATGACAGCTGCTCACTGCGTGGACAGGTGAGAAAAACAGACCAGCTTTTCTGAGCCCCTAGAAGGGGAAAAGTCCGGTTCTTCTAAAGGAATATGTATCTTTAACCACTCACTGCAAGACTTTAAGAGGATATTTGGGGGCCTTGTGAGAATGTAATAGAATATAATAAAAAGTACAAATTTTGGCATCAGGAAAGCTCAGGTTCAAATCCCATTCCACCTTCTTCTAGCTATGTGACCTTAGACAACTTACTTAATTTCTCTAAGTCCTCACTCTCTTATCTGTAGAGTGGAGTAATAATACCTACTTTGTAGAGTTATTGTGAGGGTTAAGTAGGTAAATATTTAAGTGCTCAGTCAATGCTAGTAAATTTTTTCACATTTGTCTTGATCAATAATTTTCATTCGAGCATGTATCAGAATCACCTAGAAGGCACAGATTGCTGGGTCCCAACCAGCAGTTTCTGATTTGGTAGGTTCAGGATGAGGCCTGATAATCTGCATTTCTAACAAATTTCCCGATTATACTGATGCTGCTGGTCCAGGGACCATGCTTTAAGAACTACTGGTCTAGAAATTTGTATTTCCCTCAAATTCCTTCTGTGGGCTGAGAGCCATTATTTCATTTATGCTCACCACACCTCTCCCAGGTTATGAGATATTCAGCCTATTATATTTAGCTTAATAAATTGGTAAAATGAAGTTGATGGTAGTTTTGTCACTCCTACAAGTTAATGAATTAGGAAATGAGAGAGCTTGTTACTTCCTCATCATCCAGGGTCTTTCATCCTACCTCCGCTTGGGCTAGATACGATGGGTGTCTGTCCTAAAGATATGATATAAGATGGCTTCCCAACTTTTCTCTAAGGGGAAAGAGAAGGTTTGAGCCCTCCGGATCACTCAGGGTTTCCTTCTCTCATTCCAGCAAACTGACTTTCCGTGTGGTGGTTGGAGACCACAACCTGAGCCAGAACGATGGCACCGAGCAGTATGTGAAGGTGCAGAAAATTGTGGTGCACCCATCCTGGAACAGCAACAACGTGGCTGCCGGGTAAGGGCAAGGCTGCACTGGGAAGTGGAGAACTAACTAACTAGCAACAGGGTCTTGGCTTCCTTCACATTTATCCAGTAGGACTTTGAGAATTTAGATTTTGGAGAGCTTGAGAATTTTTGAAGGTTTTTGGTATTTATTTGATCTAGGTTGGTTTGCATGATTGGATCACCTGAAGCTCCTCTTCTGCAGAGTTTCATGTTTCTTTTTGTATTGTTATTTATTATTTATTTTATGGAATAGACTCCATCAGCAAAAGTAAATTTCTTAAAATGAATCTTTCATGAGAAAAATCCTGCAAGCCTGAGCTGGACACTTTTGGAAAGGAAGTAGTTAAAATGGTGGTCAGTTCTATAGAATGTGGGGGTTGGGATGGTTTCAAGTCATTGGGATATTTCTACAGAGCTCTCAGAATTTTATATCTTTCTTTTCTGAGAACTCTTCTCTGCTACCATGATCACACCACTCTGCTCCTTCTTGATTCCTCACTCCTAACTGAAAGATGTAAGCTCCACTCCCCTGGGTTGCAGGAATCAGAGATAGACTACAACACCAAGACCTCACCAGCAGGTGCTGTTAAATATATAATGTCCTAAATCCAGATCTATGATGTTTCAAGTTTAAGACTTAGAAATCAGCCCCTTCCTTCTTCAAAATCATTGGTTTCCAATTCTATGGGGATACAAAGACTCAGTGAGGGCCTGCCTATATGCTGACCTGAAGAAGGGCCTTATCCCGCAAGTGAGCAGTCTCCTTACCTCCTGCAGCTATGACATCGCGCTGCTGCGCCTGGCCCAGAGTGTTACCCTCAACAGCTATGTCGCGCTGGGTGTTCTGCCAAAGGAGGGAACCATCCTGGCTAACAACAGTCCTTGCTACATCACAGGCTGGGGCAGGACCAGAAGTAAGTCACCTACATAGGCACCCTCCACCACATGGACCTTGATTAGCTGAGTGTCTGGGGCACATTTTTCTATGGTCCTAGGTGTACAGAGACCAGAAACCAAAGGAACTAGAGATAAAATAACAGACAAGAAATCAAGCTAAGAACAGGCTATGGAATCAAGTCAGAGATTCATAGACTCTTATAACCAAAAACAAAAAAAAATAAAACAGAAAACTTACCTCAGAGAGTATTATATACCAGCCTCTCATTTTATACTGAGGAAACTGAGACCCAAAGAAATTAAAGACCTTATACAAGATCACATGACTAAGTAGTAACGACTTAGCTGAAACCAGAAACTAGGTATTCTGATTCCCACTTGGTGGTCATTATACCATTGTACTATCTCCATGGACAGTCACTGGGCTGTGGGTTGGAATGAATGAACCAGGGGTAGCTGTAGGTCCAGAGAAGTCAAGGCAGAGGAGGCCTCAGCTCTCTTCTGCTCATCATAGGAAGATTTCTGGTAGGGAATGTCCTTCAGATAACATAGAAAGGTGGGAGAGGCTATGAGCAGAGATAGTTAAGAAGGATGGAGATGTTAGGCCTGATGTGGAAGTATGTCAGCCACCAGGCAGTATTTGAGCTCTGGAGGAGAGGCAAGGCCTTGCTCTGAGCAGCCAGTCTATTGGGAAAACCTGGAGCTGAGAGACGTACTTCTAATCCAGCTCTGCTCTCAGTTCACTTCATGTCATTGTGGTTCGATTTCCTGATCTATAACATGACAGGGTTGTTGTAAGGATCCAAGGAAATAATGCACGTGCAAAGGCTTTGAAAAGTCAAAGAGCCAGGTAAAGAAAACCTGGATCAAGCTCTTAAGAAATGGAAACGACTGTGCACAGTCCCAGTTCTGCTTCATGGAGTTTTAAAGTGTAAGGAGGAAGCAAGACAGACAGATAAGTTATCAACAAATAAGACCATTCTAGTTACTTAAGTTATCCATGAGTTTAAAGAAGAAAAAAAAAGCAAGAGTAGAATTAGTGGTTTGGAGCCTGGGAATGGTAATCAAGGGTGACTCCCTAAAAGAAGGGGCCTATAGATTCCATATAAAGAAAGAAAAGATGTGTATCTATGACATGCAATGGGTAGAGAGAAGAAGCTTGCCTTGAGTTCAGCTTTCACCAGAGCTCGAGAAGGTTTGGGAGGGTGTGAAGGTTTTCCCCCTGGCGAGCATCTAGGCCTGATCTCTAATGCTGTGTGTCCTATTCAGCCAATGGGCAGCTGGCCCAGACCCTGCAGCAGGCTTACCTGCCCTCTGTGAGCTATGCCATCTGCTCCAGCACCTCTTACTGGGGCTCCACTGTGAAGAACACCATGGTGTGCGCTGGAGGAGATGGAGTTCGCTCTGGATGCCAGGTGAACACATGTAGGAAGTGTCAAAAGTCCCACTCCAGGTTCCTCCCCTCTCTGTCTACCACCCCCCACCTTTTCCTCACCAACTATTCCACACAGCCCCATGTATAGACTCAATTTTCTACTCTGGTGTCTGAATGAGAATGATTCTGTGCTAGTAACTCTATTCTCACGGGATCTCAAAGTTGATTGGAACCTTAAAATTCATCTTGCCTAAAGCCCTCACCTCAAAAGCTTGTATGCGGCCCAACATTTGTATGTTGTTATATGTGTGTATTCTTTAGAATTTGTTCACGACCTAGATATTTATGGATCAGTGGAGCTGGGCCTAAAGTGGTGGTTGTAATTTTGTATAAGGTAGCTCCCATCCCACCAATCCAAATTTTTTGTAGCTCCTCCGCCACCATCCTTTTACCCCAGTAGTATTTACAGCAGCACATACAGGTGAATACAGTAGGGGAAAAGTACATAAAACAGTTTTATAATAGCTTACATATAATAAACAGAATGTTCTGTTTATACAGGATCAATCAGCAATATACCATCTTACAGATTTCTTGATGCATAGTTTAATAAATGTTCTTAATTATCTACTGTCAAGCACTGTGCTAAATGTTAGGGATATAAGTGTGAGTAAAACAGTGTCTAGAGAAATGGGGAGAACAGAGATATGATAGAACATTGTAATACAATGTAGTTAAGTGTTATAATAAAGATATGCATAGGGTGATATGGAAGTCCAAAAAATAGGCACTTACCTCTACCTGTTTGGGTCAGAAAAGACTTGCTTTCCCAGAGAAAGTGAAGTTTGTAGTGAGTCCTGAAGGTTAAACAGGAGAAAGGGGAAACCATATTCAGAGAGAGAGAACAGCATAAAGAAAGGCATGGGCCAAAAACCTAGGTGGGACGCGGAGAGAATTACAGGGTGTTCCCTACAGCTAGCTAACTGGAACAGAGATCAGAGCCCACAAGCCTTTGAATCCAGCCAGCTGCCTGTTTTTATTTGGCCTGTAAGCTAAGAATGGTTTTTACATTTTTAAATGTTTGAGGAAAAATAAAAGAATAATATGTCATGATGTGACAAATATAAATTTTTTTTAGTGTAATACTCATTAAATTATTTTATTATTTTATTATTATTATTTTTTTAGGCGAGGCAAAAGGTGAGGCAATCTGTGAGGCAAACCTTGGTTGACCTCACAGATTGCGAGGACTTTGTCAGCTTACAACCCCCTAATTTTTTTATTTTTTTCACCTGCAGCACCTGGTCTTCCCAGGTGGTCTCCCATCCAAGTACTAACCAGGCCCGACCCAGCTTAGCTTCCGAGATCAGATGGCACCTTGTTCAGGGTAGCATGGCCGTACACAAATGTAAAATTTTAATGTGCATTAAAAAAACATTTTCTTGGAACACAGCCATAGTTGTTCATTAAATATTGTTTATGGCTACTTTCACAGAGTGTAGCTGCAACAGAGACTATATGACTGCAAAGCATCAGGTAGTTATTATTTGACCCTTTACGGAAATAGTTTGTTGACCCCTTGGGCTAGAACATAAACTGTCACCATACTAGAGAATGTCAGGAGATGACACTGGGGCAAGTAGGAGCCACATGACGTAGGGCCTCAAATGCCATGCTTGCTGACGTGAACTTTACCACATAGACCCTGGGAAACCATTGAAGGGTTTTAAACTGGAGAATGGCATGATCATATTTGCTGTTTAGAAGGGCTCTCTGATGAAGGGTAAACATGTTTTTCAAGAAGGCAAGATTGGCAAGAAGATTGCTTAGGAGACTATTGTAATTATCCAGGCAAGAAATTTGAGGGCCTGAGTTAGGGCAGTGGAGAGGAAGGAAGAAGGGGACTATGAAATAAATTCCAGGCATCCTGTTTAAGTGATTTAGAAGAGGGGTTTGCTCCCTCAAATGAGACAAGATTTATAGTATTTGAGAGGAAAGGTGATGAGTTTGGTTCTGGATAAGTTGCGTCTGAGATTCCTGTGGGACACTCAGGTATAGTTAAATGGGTAAGAAATTAGGTATAAAGAAAGTAGAATTTGGGGGAGAGACCTGGGCTAGAGATACTCTTTTTATAGGAAATGAGACCTCCCTACAAGGGAAAACTGGTAGAAAGAGGAAAAAACAATGAGTTGGAAAAAGAACTATAATAACATAAATACTTGAGTGCTTCAGGGATAGATGGAGAACAAAGAATCCATAAAGATCTAAGAGGGATTCGAGGCAAGAGAAAACTGTAGTAACAGGGTTTTACAAAATCTCAGAAAATACTGATAGGTCACCACATAGTAAACAGAGCTGCCAGGGGCCAATAGTAGATGAAGTAGATAACTAAAAGAGACTACTTTGTCAGTGGGTGAGTCACTGGGAACTATGGCAAGAACAGTTTCAGTGGAATGATAAGGGCAGAATCTTGACAAAGGGTAAGGAATGAAGAGGTAATAGAAAACATAGCAAGAAATGTAGAATATTCTTCCAAGAATCTTGGATAAAACAACAATAAAAAAATAGTCTGGTAACTTTAAGAGTCAAGGAGCGGGGTAGATCTTTTAAGACAATTGAAAGTGTGAAATAGGCAGAGGAAAGAATCTTATAGTGTTTGGAGGGGAAATGAATAGATGGCACAAGATCGCAGAGGAGATGGAAAAGATGGAATCAAAAGCACAGGTGGAGCTGGCTTTGAGCAGGAAGAGGGACACCAAAATGTGCATGAACATGAAAGAGGGTGCATGCTGGGTAGCTGGAAGTTGGCAGGTGTTCTGCATTATTGTTTCTATTTACTCAAGAACTAGGAGTCAGATTGGATGCTGAAAACGAAGAGGCAAGGATCATAAGGGTCTGGATTAACTAAAGTGAATGGGAGAAGGATTGGTCTCCAAAATGTTACTGATAGGCTGAGATTACTGATATGTTACTGAAAGACCACGCAATAAACATGCGGGTATATGATTCATTCCATTTTACTCAAAGACCCAGTTGTAGGGAATGGATTAATCCAGGACTGGGTTTCCTGCATTGCTGGGGCAAAATGATAGGATTGCCCATTAAAGGCAAGGTCCAAGATTCCTGGAAGAAGAAGAGAAGCCCGCAGGAGGCTGGTAAGCTAGCTGAAATAATAGAATCAAAAGATTTTGTATGTGTGAGCATTTAGAACTAAGGAAGTAAGGACCAACTCATCTTAGTTTTCTCAAGACTTTCCCAGTGTTAAAACATAAAGAGTCCTGTATCCTAGGAATCCTACATGCAAGTAGGGGCAAAAAAAAAAAAAAAGAGAGAGAGAGAGACTAATGCATAAGGCAACTTCTTCCAGGTTTTCACCAGCCAGTTTCACCTATAACTACTTAAGATTTAACCATTTAGAGTTAATTCACTTTCCTCTGCTCAGTCTCTCAGGGTCTTGAATTCTGAAAAACTGGAATACTTTTCTTCTGGCTGGCACTCCACATTGACAGTTCTCTGAGACAATTGTGTCTTCGAGTCCCTTCCCACTGGAGTTTACCACATAGTGCCTTGTGGATTTTCAGTCTTTTGGCTTCCCAACCCTTTGCCTCAGAGTGGATTCACTGAGCTACTCTGACCTCAATCCACCTACTCCCATTGAGTCCTTTTCCAGCTTTTCCTTCTGCCCTAAAATCCTCAGCCACTCCCTTCAGCTCTCCAGAGCCTTTGCTTCTTTTCAGGTCAATTAGCATAAGAGAAAAGTATTACAAACAATTCAATTACCTTCCTGTCCTCTAGCCCAGAAATACTCTTAAACCCCTGTTAGAATTTGAGTGGAAGAGATTTAGGTTGTTTTATTTGTTTTGAGTATAATAATCTAAAGAAAACATCTTCTTTTCCTAAACAGTAGTTGACTAGAGTACAGCTAGTTCCTTTTTTAAAGAATTATCCCCAGTTTGAACTTTTGGTCTTTTTCCCTGTTTTTTGTTTTTTGGGGTTTTTTTGAGTTTTTATTGAAGCTATATGCATTAAAGTGTGTAAAGTAACAAATAAAACTATGTGGCTTAATAACGGAAAAGAATAGTCATTATCTTCCTTCTATCTCTTGAGTTCCCACTCCCCAGAAGGGACCACTTTCAACTTTTTTCAGCTTATTTTTTTGGTGGCTACGTCTATACCTCTCTAAAAATATATAGTTAAATCGCTACTTAATTTTTCAGTTCAGGCATCATGAGAGATACGCATCGCTCTTCCTTTTACAGATATACACTTGCCCCCTAAGCATGAACTTTTCCTATCAACACCTCAACCTCCCAAAATAATTTTTGATTAGATTAACATTTACTGTTTATCATAACTATGTAAAAGACTATTCATAACCAAACTATGTATTCTAGGATTACTTTTTATTTCCTGCATAACTTTGTTTTCCCTGAAAATAATAATTGTCTTTTTTATTTGTGTAATATATACTCAACTTATTGCTAATTCAACCCACACTCTCCACTAATTTTTAAGTGACCTATTTTATCTTCTCTTGTTCCTAGTGTTCAGTGTCTTGGTATGGGTCTATTTGCTTTCATCATTAGGGACATTTACTAGGTTTTTTTCATTGTGGAAACTCCAGAGTTTTGTTTCTGAAAATGTTTATTTGTTGATGATTTCCTCCCCTCCATTTTTATTTATCCGTCTAGAATTTGCTATTCACATATTTACCTACTAAATTGGTCCTCTCGTTTTATTATTTTCTCTATATTTTGTTTGTTCTACTTTATCTTCCAGCCTTTCCAGTCTTTCATTTCTACTATTATATTTACAATTTCCAAAGGCTCCTTTTGTTTTCTGACTGTTGTTTAATAGCATGCTGTTCTTATATCATGGATGCAATATTAATCATAGCTTTATTGCTTGGTTCTTCTCCCTGAATAATCTTGGTTGCCTTCATTTTTTGTCGTTATTTATTTGTCTGTTTTGATCTTTATTTTTATATTAGAGGCTTTCTTCAAATGTTTGTAATCCTTGACCATCTGCTCTAATTTCAGAGTGGGGCAGTAAAAAGCTGATAGGTAGCTCTAAGTCTTAGGTGGGATTCATCTATAGTGTACCGCTTTGTCAGATGATGTGGCTAGGCTTTTTCACTGGAGAACTTCCAATGTCAGTATCTTTAGGTCTTCACTCTTGTGCTGGTCAGAGTCTCCAGAGAAATATCTTCCAAATTTATGTCTGGAATTACACAGAACTGGCATTCTTGGAACTGGGTAGGAAGAAGAGTATCAAGATCATATTCTATTAACCCAGGTTCTTTTGATTCTAAGCCTGATCATGTAACCACTACTCCTCTTCACCCCAGTTTAGTTTAACATGTGTTGACTACCTACCTGTGTCTAAACATTGTCTAATTAGACCTGTTGGTCTAAATGCTAGGGATAAAGAAGTCATTAGAACACCCTACTTCTCCCACCCCAGGTTCAATTTAAGTCAATAAAAGCTATTTAGCTTAAGATGTTCAAAGTTCTATGCTAGCATCATGGAAAGGAAAAATATCAGCAAGACATAGTTCCTATCTCAAGCTCATAGATAAGTGTGTGTGGGGAGGGGGAGGGTAGAAATAAATTATGGTTGTTCAGAAAGAAAAAAGATTCATCATGATTGTGGGAATATGAAGAAAGTGGTGATTTGAATTGGAACTTCAAAACTGTACAGGATTTTACAGAGATGGGGGTGGGCAGGGTGCAAGCAAAAGCAAAGGCCCAAAGATCAAAATATCTAGAATTTTAAGAGTCTCGTTTTCCTCTCTGCAGGGTGATTCTGGAGGCCCCCTCCACTGCTTGGTGGATGGCAAGTATGCTGTCCATGGAGTGACCAGCTTCGTTTCCAGCCAGGGATGTAATGTCTCCAAGAAGCCCACAGTCTTCACCAGGGTATCTGCTTACATCTCCTGGATAAACAATGTGAGTTCTCTCAAATGATGAGTTGACGCAGGGTCACCTGGAGACCCACACACACTGGCTGGGTTGGGGAGCAAAAGTTGGGCAGGACAAGCCATCACCTTCCTCGCTACATTTATATTTTACTCTTTTCTCTTCCCTCCATAGTGCACTTTCCCTCAATAATGCCGCCATCCCGAGTACTCTTTCACATACCCATAAAGCAGACTTTACTATATTGTTTACTGCTTAGGGTAAGATGGCAGTAACAAGATCTGAACCAGGCATATATCAGTGCTATCCTAAGTCGAAGCCAAGGGAAAAACATCTTCATAAGGCCTGCATGCTCCTGGACAACGGGAGAGGCATTAACATTTTCCCTGTTGAGATCTTTCTAAGGGCATTATGGGAATTCCTCTACCTTTTGGAAAGAGGTTTTCCGTCTTTAAACATACTCGAGGGTTAGGTGAGTCTCTACCTATACTGACCTAGCAGGAGAGACTCACAATTATATTCTGGATTCTTGTGGCATAAACATTGATTCACAACCCTTTCAGAGTCTGTCCTTGCCACTAAGTCCTGGGTGTATGCCTTATAACGTTGAATTGTCCTGACAGAGCAGAGACTTACTTTCTGCCCCACCAACCCTCTTGACTTCCCATAAACCCAGTACAGGGCCACACTCAACTAGAAGCCCTGGGGAAAAAAAGAAATGAGATGGGCAGAAGTAACTGACTGTGGATATAACTGGCTTTTCCTTCAGGTCATTGCCAAAAACTGAGCATTTTCCTGAGCACAACGGACATCCCAAGGCGATTCTTCAATCCAGAGTAGGACTTGAGGCCATCAAGAAAAAATATTCTAGGAGACTATTGAGCCAGACACAGAAAGGCAAATAAAACTGCATATACATTACCATCCTGTGTCTTTTTATTTGTAATTGAGCCCTCTAGGGCTAGTTCTTCCATTTGCTGCCACCTCTACCAGTTCACAAACTAAGCCAAGTGGGAGTAGTTTTACATTATTCTTTTTGAATTATTTTAGGATTAACCTATCCATTAATCTGATCATCTGTCCTTCTTCCTATGCATATTTACTATATTCAAAGGCACAGAAAGCTTTTAAATATTCTTGAGTGACTAAATGTGACCTGACTCTCCCAGGTATATTGTGGGTGCCCCCTTCTTTTGTTTTCACTTTTAGTGCCTATAACAGGTGCTCACTCCAAGGTCTGAGTGATGGTAACTTCATACGACAATACACTAGAGATAGGAGTATAGGATTAGGTGGTAGGTCAGATGCCAGCAGACAAAGAAAGTGAAAAATTAGAAAGGAGACTAGGAAGGAAGGAATAGAAATAAGGAGAAAAAAGACACCGAACAAAGAAAAGAAAGGATAACTGGAAAGAGGCAGAACAAAAAGGGAGAAGACATAACAATAAGGGGCTTCAAACTAAGTAAGAGCCAGCGCTTCAAGACTGGAACTAAAATAGGCAACCAGATCCGGAGTCTTATAAACCACAGAGAACTGGGAAGCTGATAATTTGCCCTGGGTAAGACTCAATGTGTTAGAGCGGACTGCGATAAAGAGGGAACTGAGAGGAGAAGGCTAAGAAGATGAGAAGCAGCTTTCCACAGCAATCACTGAGGACCAGACATGAGGGACAAGGGTAGTTAACATAAGAGAAATCAGCTAAGACTAGTCCTGGAATTTGTAGGCTAAGTCAGCAGAGGCCTCTAGAACAGTGTATAGACTATAAGAAACTGGCTGGAGTCAAGATGCCTGTATTCCTAATCTCAGTTCCACAACTAAGGAATGAGTAACCTTGGACAAGTCACTAGCCTCTTCTGTGACTCAGTTTCCCTATCTAGTTAACTTCTAAAGATTGTTCCTGCTCTAACACTACATGATTTAGTGACCACCAATGTCAGTTCCCAAGAGATTGGCACTGAAAAGAGTTTCTTAGGAGGCTGCATTGCTGAGGATGCTGTGGATTCCTGAGAGTGACATAGGTATTGGCCTCCTGGTAGTGACACACCTGTTATCACCATCTCTCAGTTGTCCCCACAGTACCACCATTCTCAGAGCTTCTCTCTAATTCTCCCCAACATTAAGTCTTTCCATTTTCTTCACTCTGCCCCTTCTAGACCATTCCCACAGCTAACATTCAGGATAAACCCTATTGACCTATTACCTGAAAATGTTATATCACTCTCTGTAAATTAATAACATATATAACATTATAATCATCTGATTACCAACCTTTCTCCACTTCCAGACATTAAACATCTGAGGTCAGGAATCACATTTATTAATTCATCCTTAGCTTCACAACATTCAGTAATGCCTGTCACACAGTTAACCCTAAGTGCAGAACATCTATCTGGGGCAATGACTTGGAAAACAAGAGCAGACAAGGGTCTCTAAATTTGTCTCAGGTCTCCAGCCTCTCTCCCCACTCCTTAGAAGTGTATTTTGACCCTCTTCCCTACTCTTACTGTAAAATCCTTGAGTAAATGGTTCCTCCAAACCTAGTGTCCTAATTTCCAGCTATCTCCTCAGACGGGCCAGGCAGTTAACTTCCATCTGGAGACCTTCTACCTAAAGAAGCAACAGTTGTAATCTCAGCAGTCTCACCCCAACTTTCACAGTGTGTCTGTCTTCACATTCTGCCTCCTTCTAGTACACTGTACTAGTTTATCTAGCTAGAAAAATGTGTTCCCCATCCCCAGCACAGGCTCTAGACTCTTCCTCGGTATTTTTTCCAGGATCTTCTTCTTTCCTAAGGACTTCCATTCCTAGCTCTACCTCAGCTGTTCCTCCCTTTGAAAATCAGGTCTGGAGTCCTGTCCCATTTCTGCACTCTGTCCCTACTAGTTCTAGGCTTACATCTAACCTCTCTGATAGAGGCTTTCCATCTTTAAAAACTACAACCTGAAGGAGTACGTTTTACTTGGCAGTATACATATCTGTATAAGTGAAACGCATTTTCCCAGACAATAAATACTCTTGCTGAATGGAAATCACAATATTTTCTACCCAATTGTGTATTATTTTCCAGCACTGATCAATTAGCTAATTGGCTTTAGAGAACAAATGAGTCTTGGCCCTCTTTTAAAAACTCTGTTCAGTGGCGCTGGTATTCCTAAACCTTAGGGCTGGAGAACTCTGAAGCTGGTCTTGAATGAGCACCGCCTGAGGGCAAGACCAGCACCTCCCCTGAGCTCCCCACTTAGCCCCTCACCCGCTGCCCTGGACCGCACCCTCTAGCTGGACGGTGTTGGGCCATGGGGAGGGCCCCAGGGGTCAATGCTGGCTGGGCTCCTGTGGGCCTCCAAGTGGACCTTGCGGCAGGTGCCGGGGTGGCCGCTATATGGGCCCAGGCTCGCTACCCTGGGTTTTGGCGGGGGCGCCTCAGGATTGTCTGAGGGCAGCCTTGGCGTGGTCCCTAGGCGGCCGCTGGGTTGGCGTGGTCCCTAGGCGGCCGCTGGGTTGGCTCCCCGGGTCTCGCTCGCAGAGCTAACAGCCCTGGGGGGAAGTAGGGGGCCCGCCCACCAGGGCCGGATGCGAGGCATGACGGGAAGCCGCACTTCCTCCTTGGGGGCCTCCAGAAAACCACAGGGCTCCCGGCCCGGGCAGGCCACCCCCGGGGAGCAGGCAGGATGGCTGAGGGCAAGGCGGGCGGCGCTGCCGGCCTCTTCGCCAAGCAGGTGCAGAAGAAGTT